CCCCCGCCCCCCTCCGCCTCCACCTCGTCCAACCGACTGACCAGCAGCTCCTTCCGCCCAAGAACCCGCACCATGGACGCCGCCATGCTGACGAACCAGAGGGCCGCGCCCCCGGGCATTGAGCAGCGCCATCGCGTGGGCAGCATGAGCTCGTCCGGTTCCCAGCCGACGGGTCCCATTCCCACCTCAGCCGCCGAGGAGCCCAGGCTGCCCGCCGCCGGCCTCGAGTCGACCGGATTCCCTACCATCATGGGCGGCCGAAGTTTCGAGGCTGCCGTCCCCACCAACAAGAGCAGCGACAAGAAGACCAGCTCCAACCGCAGGCTCATGAAGCGCCAGTCCTCACACCCCGCCCCGCACCCCTCGATACCCAACTCGCCCTCCATCGACAGCCTGGCCACCCCGATCTGGATCGAAAACCCTCACAAAATCACCCAGCTGATGCTCACCCTGTGCGGCAAGATGCGTGGAGAGGTCGAGTACCAGGGCGAGTCGGGCGGGTCGTGGTACATGGGGTTGGCGTACATCGACGACGACAGGGGCTGCTTGATGTTCGACTCGGGCCAGAGCGGCCCCTTCCACATCCCCATCGTGGCGGATCTGCGCGGCTGCAGGGTCTATCCGGTAGACTACCCGGAGGCGGGCAAGCGATGCCTCGAGCTCATCTCGTCGAACCCCGTCATTGAGGTCTTGATGTACCCGCGGGAGCATTCGCACTTTGATTTCTGGCTGGCCGCCCTCTTGTGTTGGCAGCAGCTGCGGCCGCCGCTGGTGAAACCCTCGGCTTCGAAACCCTCGAGCCCCGCGAGTCCCGTCCGTCCTGAGCTTAAGAGGCGAGGGCAACCCGCCGACGTGCCAAGGTCATCAACTGTCATCAAGGTTGGCAAGGTCCAGGTTTGGGACAAGGGGCTGGCCGGTAACCCATATATCCTGACGAAGCGGTCGTCAACTAGAGATCCCCGCTCGCCGGCGATGGCATGGGTCACGGTTTCGTTCACACTGTCAGACAATGGCGAGCTTAAGCTCATGGCAGAGAACGACGGGACCATACTTGCCATTGTCGAGATGTCCCAGTTGTCACGCAGCGCAGTTCAGCAGCTGGACAAGACAGTCCTGGGCGAGGACCACTGCATCGCCGTATTCCCCATGTATGCGCTCAAGGCACGGCAGCTGAGCGTCTTCCGGCCCGTGTATCTGGCGGCCGAAACCCGGGTCCAGTTCGAGGTGTGGTTCGCCCTCCTTCGGGCATTCACCGTCCCGGACATCTACAAGCTCGACGAGCCGGATAAGGACCTGGCGCAGAAGGTAGATGATGTCGACAAGGCCCGCCCCGGCGAGGTCTTCCGCGTAGAAAAGACTATTCAGGTGCGGGTGACGGAGGCGAAAATGAAGCCCAAGAATGGGGCGGCGGAGGCATCGCCCCAGACGCGCCCCGAAAAGAGCTCGAGAACGACACTAGTCGATCCGTTGGTTGGGAACTACTTGGCTGAGGTCATGTTGGACGGCGAGGTCAGGGCACGGACGATGACAAAGGCCTCCACAAAGAACCCTTTTTGGAGGGAGGATTGCGAGTTCACGGACCTCCCGCCCACGATCCCCCAGCTCTCTGTGAGGTTAAAAACTGTGGAGGGGTACGTCGAGCCGCCTCACAGCCCCATTGCCAAATCGTCCAACAACAACAATGAAGTCATCTGCGGTGCCGTCGACCTATCGCAGGCATCGACGGACCCGGCATCCAAGGATAACGAGCAGTGGCTGCCCATCCTGGATGACAAGGCGGAGACGATCGGATCCATGCTGATCAGAGTTGCCCACGAAGAGCTTGTGGTACTTCTGGCAAAGGAGTACCAACCTCTGGCTGGGATCATCCACAACTTCCAATCTAACCTGACGACGCAGGTTTCAAATGCTCTTCCGGGCCATCTGCGCAAAGTGGCAGAGCTCTTCCTCAACATTTTCCAGGTTTCCGAGAAGGCGAGTGATTGGATCATGGCCATGGTCGAAGATGAGATTGATGGGATAGGCAGCCAGGCAACGATCAAGAAGTACCGCTTTGGAAGCCGGGTAAAATCAAATGAATCAGGCGAATCTAGCAATCATCGGGATCTTATGGTTCGAGACATGAACAAGTCGCTGACTGGCGAGGCGAACCTGTTGTTCCGTGGTAACACGCTCCTGACCCAGTCGCTCGAGTTTCACATGCGTAGGCTGGGCAAGGAGTTCCTGGAGGAGACGCTCAAGGACAAGATTTACGAGATCAACGAGATGGACCTGGACTGCGAGGTAGACCCATCCAAACTCCACCAAGCGGTGGATTTGGATCAGAGATGGAGAAGACTCATCGATATCACGACTGACATTTGGAACTGCATCTGCACCTCGGCAAAACGTCTTCATCCTGAGCTCAGAGGCATCCTCAAGTACATCCGGGCCGTCGCCGAGGACCGATATGGTGACTTCCTCCGTACGGTAGCATACACGTCTGTGTCCGGATTCCTGTTCCTGCGGTTCATCTGCCCTGCCATTCTCTCGCCAAAGCTGTTCGGACTTTTGCGTGATCACCCTCGACCTCGGGCTCAGCGAACTTTCACTCTGATTGCCAAGGCGTTGCAAAAGATGGCTAACTTGTCAACATTTGGTAAGCGAGAGGAATGGATGGAGCCCATGAATAGGTTCCTCGGTACACAGAGGAGCGTCTTCAAGGAGTATGTAGATCAGATCTGCGATGTGCCCGTGGACCACATTGTCAAGACGATACCTCCAGGATACAGTACACCCTTGACGATTATGAATCGACTGAGTCCTACATCCCGGGAAGGATTCCCCAGCCTCCCTTTCCTTATCGACCAGGCAAGGAACTATGCCAGCTTGGTCAAGCTGTGGGTGGATGCCAAGCCAGCAGAGAACACGAAGAAGGTCACAATTGAAGGCGAGCTGCTCATCTTCAACGACATCTGCTTCGCCCTGCAATCCCGCTCAGACTCTTGCCTTGCAAAGGATGAGAGCCTCGAGCTTAGCGAGTTTCGCCCTGGTATGACCACTGAGGAACTCGCCGAGGTGCTCGAGCAAGCCTCTCTCTTCGAGGCGACGACCCATTCATATGCAGGCTCTACTACTTGGACGGAGTCAGAGCAGCCTCCTGGAAGCTCAGGCAGTGACACCCTCGAGGATGATAACAGACGTAGCAGAGACTTCCGAAGAACCAGAGACGGTCATGACAAGAAGAGATACATGACCAGCGGTGGAACAGCCAAGGGCAAGAATGGCAAGGTGGGGCGTACCATCCTCAACGGCATTATGAGGATAGGCGGCAGAGCAGACAGTCCAGAGCACAAGGAAAAGAAATCGGACTCGAAAAACCAGAAGTGAGCCGCAAATGATGCTCCATCGCCTCGTTCCACAGGATAGATGGGTCTCATGCTCCTGTCTTTTTGTTATCCTTTTCCTTCTGGCTTGCCACGTCTTTTGCCATTTCTTCTTCATCGACACCTGGAAGGGAAACCTCTTCCCCGACTCTTCATACACGGAATTCCTATCTCCTTTTCTTTCGACGCATCTATTATCTTGCTCTTTTTCTTGCACAGCGACGCCGCTATGAATTGACGACCTGAAACGCTATATCCAGCATCTCTATCCTCACTATCAAGAAAAACAAAAAATAAACTTCTCGCCCGCCGTTTATCCATCTACCTCCTCCTCTCTCATTCACTATTTTCTCGACCTTGGACCTACTCTTCAACGCCTCCTTCCTCACCGAAAATCAGCTATTACAAAAAAAGTGAAGCGACGGCTTTCCTCCGCATGAGTCGGAGCATTTCTCTGCGAGGATTTCGAGTGCATATCTATATATCATTATATATATACCCCCCAAAAGAACAGCACGCTGGCCGGACTTCTCTTCTCGTCTTGTTATACTTTGCATATCCTAGATGTTTTTGGAGATTGGCTAGCAGCATGGTTTTGATTGGGTAACTTCCCTCTTCCCTTTTTTGGATTTCGAAGTGGACGAACATCTATATTTCCCTAGCTTTGCATCCACCTTCACGCTATTCTTATTCTTCTTTGTCTCTCGCTCTACGATATTATACCTTTTCATGATGGGGGACGTGTTGACTACTATGGATGGTTCAAGCAACGGGATGGTGAAATACCCCTGTTTCGCGTTATGTACCAGTGGATGAGAGATGAAAACCAACCTCACGTTTATCCAAAGACGACTCCTCGCTTTTACTTACTTAACCCCCCTTCGACAACCTGCCACGATTGGCTGGGCTCGTACCCAAAACGCATTGTACAGGCCCCCTCACTCGAAGAACACAAAAGTCATCATTGACGCCTTGTACCCCCCTGGAGGAGGGAAGAGGCAGTTGGGAAACAAGAAATGAAAAAGAAAAAAAAACCCAACCGGATCCGTCTTTGTCGCCCCGGCAAAGACAGGGAAAGAGACGGAAGCTTTGGAGCGGTTGGGGAGATTAGACATTAGAAACTTTTTTCCATAAGTAAATATACACCCTTTGAGGTGTTGGAATAACCATAGTGGCTTCCTATGTGATACTGTGACATGGATCCCCATCGTATGTAGGTGTAGTGAATAGGATTGACGATTCCACAAAATAGAAATCTCTATGTATTGATTTGTTTTTTAAAGCGTTTTTTACTTTTTTCGTCTCGACCCCTGTAGATATATGTAACTATAGGTGTGCACTAATATTCACAGCTAATCGTACGCAGCTCCCTCCCAGGAAAACAAAAACAACCCAACAAAGAAATAGAAAGAAATTAGGTCGAATGGCCCTCGTCTTCTCTTACAACCCCTGGGTCGTTGATATCATGAGTAAACGTATGATGTTGATGGTGGTCTCATCGGGGGGTTTGCCCCCTCCTCGTTACGGCTGATATTCCCCCCTTCTCCTTTCCCTAGCCAACTTTTCAGCCTTTTTTCCTCCTCATCGGCTGTTTTTCTCCTTCTTTTTTCACTCATTTTCTCATCTTCGCCTTTTTTAGTCAAAGAACTTCTTGTACGCAGCCTTCTCCTTGGCAGCGCGGGCGTTAGCCTTGGCCTTGACGGAGTTGAGCTCGTTGGTGACGGCCGAGTCCTCGGGGACGAGCTTGTGCGCCTCCTCGAGGTCCTTGAGGGCCGACTCCTCGTCCTTGAGGCGGATGTTGGCGAAGCCGCGGCGGTAGAGGGCCTTGGCCTTCTCCTTGTCCGAGAGCTTGGCCACGGCGAGGGCCGAGGTGGAGAAGCGGATGGCCTCGTCCCAGGCCTCGAGCTTGGTGGACAGCAGGGCGGCGTTGGAGTTGAGGGAGAAGCGCAGGGCCTCGAGGGCGGCCTTGGTCTCTGCCGTCTCCTCCTCGAGGTCGGGCTCCTCGTTGAGGTAGCGCAGGCCCTTCTCGTACTTCTCGAGGCCGAGCTTGAGGTTGCCGGCCTTGAAGGCCTTGGTGCCGTAGTCCTTGGCGGCGGTGGCGATCTCGAGGACCTTCTTGGCGTTGAGCTGCTCCTTGCAGTCCTCGGGGAAGTCCTCGTAGGGGTCGCCGAGGGCGTCGGGCTGCTTGACGTCGGCGGCCAGCGCGGCCTCGCCGGTGAGCTCGCCGCAGTCGAGGATGGAAGCCTCCTTCTTGGGCTTGTCGCCGGAGCCGGTCTGCAGGTTCTCAATCTGGCGGACGACGGACTTTCCGTTCAGAACCTCGCCGAAGACAACGTGCTTGTTGTCCAGATGGGGGGTTGGCACAGTAGTGACGAAGAACTGAGAGCCGTTTGTATCTGCGAGGAAGTTAGTACTTGATGTAAGAAGAAAAGGATCATGCGGGAGGGCATCTTACTAGGTCCGGCATTGGCCATGGACAGGAGGAACGGCTTCTCGTGCTTCCTGGGGAACGCCTCATCCTCGAACTTGGCGCCGTAGATGGACTCGCCGCCAGTGCCGTCACCAGCTGTGAAGTCACCACCCTGGATCATGAACTGCTTGATGACACGGTGGAAGATGGACCCCTTGTAGTGGAGGGGCTTCCCCGACTTGCCAACCCCCTTCTCGCCGGTGCAGAGAGCGCGGAAGTTCTCGGCCGTCTTGGGGACGAGGTCGGAGTAGAGCTCCATGGTCACGCGGCCGAGCTCCTTTCCATCGAGGGCGATGTCAAAAAACACCCGGGGGCGCTTGGGAGCCTCGCCTGACGCCATTTGTGCTGGTGGGGGTGATGCGGCTGTGGTGAAGGGTGGTGGTGGGGTTGTGAGGGGTGAGAGAGGAAGAGTGAAGAGAAAGTGGTTTCTGCTCTGGGCGCGAGATCTAATCTGGGCGGGGAGGGAGGAGGAGAGGTGCTGGGGGAGAAGGAGGAGGAGGATGAGGAGAGGGAGGGAGAAGCGAAGGTATTAATGAAGGGAGGTGGTATCCGAAGCAGAGAGAAGCGAAACGAGTGAGTGAGGCTGGCTGTATCTTATGGTGGGGTCGGAGTCAAAGAACGCTCGTTGCTGTGAGGCGCTGATGAATGCGGGGTACCTGCTACCTGCTCCCGGGTGGTCACCTCAGTCAATGCCGCAGCGTTCTGAGAGCCTGAAACTGCCTGTGTGCCTTAACCAGCATCAGTCGATCATGCACAGAACAGCGGCTAGCCCACGAGCGTCCGACTCTGCAGCTCAAGGGCGGCTTTTCAGCTGGCCCGGCCCTTGTCTTGCTTTATCATGAATCACCTCCCAGCCGCTAGCCAAGCTGCACATACATTTGACCTGTCCATGGATATATCCGTTGAAAATACCCACCTACCCTAGGCCCGGGGCGAATGGGCCGCCTTGTCTGCTCTAGAAGTTTCCAGGGCCGATGCGGCACGCAAACAATTATTACATACAGTACAGCATGTCCATGCATGCATTCATCCCTCCCAGGGCCAACGACTGGTGGCTGGACCCCTACCGACAGGCCAAACCTACGCAAGTCCGCACACCTGCAGCCGCTCCCAGAGGACCCTCAGGGGTCACCCACTCAGGCTAGATAGCGGCGATTTGATTCGATTCGATGGTGAAAGCACGCATTGCTGGAGCAATGGAGGCGCAAACATGAGACGTCCTGCTACCTGAACCTGTTGCCGAGGTGGACAACTTCGATTGCCAATCCAATAATTCTGCCCTACCCTATGTCTCTGATCTCCGAGTAGACCGTCGGTACAAGTTGACTCTCGATAAGCCTTTTATTTCCCGATTCCTGATCTCGCAACGACCACCCTCCCTTGCTCCTCCCATTCCCTAGATCGGGTGGGCAGGTACTTGTGTGATAATGCGGCGCATCCTGTCAGATTTGCGACTGCCCAGCCAGTAGTGTTGAGATGGTTGCACAGGACCGATGCGTTGTCCAATGGAGCAACTCGACCATCCTCTCTCCCCTCTCTGGCAGTCAGCATGTGAGGTCCAGCGCACCAAACGAAATGTGGTCTGATTTCCCTGTCACATCTCATTCTCGTTATCCGAATGGCTGCTCACTACGCTTTGACGAGCCTTGTCGTACAGGCTAATAAGCGCGGAAGCTGCAGGGAGCTGGATGGGTAGTATACGCATGGCACACCAGAACACCACACCGAGCCATTGGCACACCGGTGAGTTGTGCACCGAGGCTTTATCGGTTGGCAATAATAACCATAGTGGACTCTTACATTGCAGACTGTCGTGGGATATGGGTTTCCCTCCCCGTTATATTGACGATTCTCGCAGAATATCCAAGCACCATGGGAGCGGCCTTGGTGTGGCAAACTCTAAGTCGCCCACTGGGGAGTGCCTTGTTGGTTGCATTGCCTAACTCCCTTGCGTGTGGCTTGCTGGTGATAGGTTACCGACCTTGACCCAGCTCGCTCTGAATGAGGAATGGTTCATCACGTTGGAGTATCAATAGTGCTGCTCCATGCCATTGTAATCCATGCCGTGTTGCGTCTATTGTCTATCCTCATCGAGCCATATGGTGCGACTATCATGGCTGACCCATCGCTAGTGAAACTCCCCGTTTGTGATCTATCCGTTTGCCTCCCCAGTCCAGACTCACTCCTCCGGGGCTTTCCCCCCAGCTTGGAGCTCGAGCGTAACCTAGCCAAAGGCCCCCAGCGGCCAATGTCAGCCAACTCGATCCGATCGTTTCAAGACGGGCCGAGCCTCCAAGGGGCGATAGGGCGCAAACTTTACGTACCGGGCCATCGTTGACTAATGCCACCTGCATCATAGCTTGGAACTTGCCGTCTTTGACTCGTTCGGGGTTGTACCCGGCCCCCAGCTTCTGAACCAGAGAGTTGTACAGCGGGATGGCTTCGTCGGGGCTCATTGCACCGTGGAAGTCGGGCTTGGTGCCTTTCTTGGTTCTGGCCAGGAGAGTGAATTGTGAAACTGCAGCGTGTCAAATGGGCCGTCAACTCAGCCTGACGCCTTGACCTCGCTTCCCCTTTCCCACCCTTCTCGGATGGCTATTCCGTTTGGGACGAGAGGTGATGGGTCAAACCGATGAGGGAGAAAAGCTGGGATTCTTACCACAGAGAACCTCTCCTTCAATGTCCATTACATTCTTTTTCCACTATTGCGTGGCGAATCAAATGCCAGGATCAGCAACAATAAAAGGCTCGACCGGACGCCACCGAAGTATTGGAAGGGGGGGAGGGGATCCGAGATTACCTTGCCGCCAGCCTCGTCATCCCATAATTTCATTTTCAAGACTTTATTGGCGATGGTGGTGATCTCCTTCTCCGTGTCACCTGGAGCCACGGCGGCAAAGACCAGGACGCCTTTGCCAATCGACGAGATGACCTCCTGGTCAACCGTCACCGAGGCTGAGAGCACACGCTGGATGATTGCTACAGCAAGTTGTGAGATGTGAGATGTCCATTTTTTTCTATTATGTGGTTCATTTTTACATAATTGGTGATGTCCATACCCTTCATTGCTTTTTCTTTTGTGACCCAAGTTCGTCTCGCCTAAGACCGGGGGAGTTGTTTCACATGCACTACAACCAGCTGGACACAAGAGGCTGCGCGTAGACCAATGCAATGGCCCAGTGCGTTTGGGTGTCGCAAACGCCGGGGCTCTCCAAAGCAAGGCAGTAGGTAGGTAGGCAAATAGGCAAATAGGATAAGGCAACCAAAATACCTCCGAGCCTGTAGGTGGTGGCTGGTGGTTGGCTGGTGGTCTTGTTTGGGGCCAATTGCGGGCAGAATAGAGTTCAATGTTTCGCAGCTGCCAGTCAGACGTCGTCGGGCCTGGAATCAAATTAGGTACTAGGCCGGTATTGAGTTGTCGGGCGGTGTTGTAGGCGCGTGCGCGAGTTGACTGAGGCGGCTTTGGGCCGCTGTTGGGGCTGCTGCTGCTGCCGCTGCCGTCATGTGAGCATGGGGGTTAGGTATAAGTGCGCCTTCGTGTAGCGCCTCTAACATGGCGGGTAGGCTGCCGATGTACCTCAGCCTGGAGAACCAAGAGGACCAGCACACACTCGAGTTCAGACCAGTCTGCCCGAGCTCAGGCTACATCTCCTGTCACACAAGCCCTCGTCCAAATCAAACCCTCTTCATTTCCCCAGGCAGGAGGCATCTCATCTGGACCCGTTGCAGCGGCCGGCTTCCTTTGCGGGTCAACTGCATATCGACCCTACCTGGTACCTAACCTCTGTTAGCCAATGACAAGCGCTGAACCTGGATTCTGCCAAACGCAAAACGCCTAGGCTTGCAGCTGGAGCACTTTGGAAGCGGCATCAACAAATCACCACGAAACGACCACGACGGCCTCTTCGAATCGTCAGGTTCGACCGTCCTCAACCTAGCCGCCTTTTTCTCCCCGACGCAGGCTGCGCCGTGCCATTTTGCGCTCCCCGCACTAGCACCGCATCCGGCGGATTGCTGAATCTACACATCATCGTCGATCCACCCCGTGACGACATCTGGCCTCTACCCAGCTCTCTCTGGCAGCTCGAGACCGAACAGCTAGGATCCCAGCACGAAGAAGGACCACTCATCCGATTCCAGGCAAACCCGTGAGCGCCCAGGGCTCGCAGACACAGTCACAATGGCGGCAAGGAAACTGCAGCAAGAGGTGGACAAGTGCTTCAAGAAGGTGGCGGAGGGCATCGCCGAATTCGAGGGCATCTACGACAAGATCGAACTATCAAATAACCCGGCCCAGAAAGAGAAGCTCGAAGACCAGCTGAAACGTGAGATCAAGAAGCTGCAGCGGTTGCGCGACCAGATCAAGACATGGGCGGCGAGTAACGACATCAAGGACAAGGCTCCCTTATTGGAGCACCGCAAGCTGATAGAAACGGTTGGTGACACACCCCATGGCCGGAAAGCCCTTTCTAGATGGTCGTACCAAGTTGGAGTGTATCGTGTACTGATTGCGCATTTCGTCGTGTTTCTAGCAAATGGAGAAGTTCAAGGCGGTGGAGAAGGCCATGAAGACGAAAGCCTACTCCAAGGAAGGTCTATCAGCCGCCGCCAAGCTGGATCCCAAGGAGCAGGCCAAAGTCGAGGCCAGCGACTTCCTCAACGGCACCGTCGACGAACTGGAACAGCAGATCGAGACCCTCGAGGCCGAGAGCGAAGCCTTATCAGCGACAATGAAGAGGGGCAAGAGCCACAACCAAAAAGCAGAACGCATCGCAGCGATCGAGAACATCATCGAGCGACATAAATTCCATCAAGGCAAGCTAGAACTCATCCGAAGATCGTTAGAGAATGGCGCCATCACTACGGACCAGGTCAAGGATCTCGAGGAGAGCATCAAGTACTACGTCTCCGATGGCATGAACGATGACTTTATGGAAGACGAGGGTCTCTACGATGAGCTGGATCTTGACGACGAGGAGGGCACCTACGGTATGTCTTTGGACAACGAGAAGGGCTCATCACAGGATACACAATCCGTGCAAGATGACTTCGTACCGGAGCTGGAACCCCCTGTGAAAACGAGGAAAGCGCAGAAGGAACCCGACGTCCCAACGACGACGACGACGACGACGACGACGACCACTGCCCGAAAGACTTCATCCCAGACTAAGTCACCCTTACCGGCACTCGCGACGTTACATACTCCGCTTTCTGCAACCAACGGGACCGGCAGCGGCCCTACAATGAAACCGGCATCGTTACCTACCAGGCCAGCGGGCGAGGGTCTGAAGTATGCCTCAGCGGCGGCAGCAGCTGCGGCCAGCGATAAGAACAATGTGGGCATTGCACCTTTACCACCGCCGCCTGGGTCCCAAAGTATAGGCATATCGCCGTTACCCCCAATCCCGGCCAGGACAAGCGCGACGAGTTCTCCCGCCACCTCAACAGTGCTGCCTGCATCGTCGTCATCTGATTCTAGGCACATTCCTGGGACGGGCTCGGGGCTGTCAGAGGCGGACTCATCTGTGTTGATTACTGCCGTTCGACAAAAGAAGATCAAGGCTGCGAAGCAATCCGCAGCGGCAGAGGCAGCAGAGTCTAGCAAAGGTACTTTTCCGGACCCCAATTGTGATTACGACGCTCTTAGCATATTGACGTGTTCCGCAGCACTTGTCCCAACGAACGGGGTTACGAATGGCATCAAGCCAATCGAGGAGGAGCCCGAGGAGGAGTCCATCTATCACCTTCCAGCCTCATTACACGACCTTGTCGAGTCATTCGAGGGCTCGAAAAAGCGTATACCGCATCCCGCATCACAGGCTGCAATCCGGATGATGAGCACGAGCCAGGCCAGCTGTCCCGACCAAAGTGATGCTGACTTCCCCCGGAGCTACCATCCCGAAGCGCCCATGCCAGCCGCCTCGACGTCAGGATTCCCCAAGGAGCCCCTGCCCATCTTTGACGACCCAAGGCTGTACTCTCGCATAGACTCCGACACCCTGTTCTACGTATTCTACTACAAGCAGGGAACGCCACACCAGTACCTGGCCGCCAAGGCGCTCAAGGACCAGAGCTGGCGTTTCCACAAGCAGTACCAAACTTGGTTCCAGCGTCATGAGGAGCCTAAGAACATCACCGACGAGTTCGAACAGGGCACGTACCGCTTCTTCGACTACGAGAGCACCTGGTAAGTCTTGTGTTCCCGCCCTGCTACGCACTCATCTCTCTCTCTCTCCAACGTACCACGTCTTACTAATACCGCCCCCCCTTTCTCTTAGGATGAACCGGAGGAAAGCCGACTTCAAGTTTGCTTACAAGTTCCTCGAAGACGATATCTAATGGCTGGGTTGGCCCATCCATGCACTTTTTCCCGTTTGGTTTTGTGGCGCCGGAAACCGGCACTGGGGCATCAGGACAGGGAAAGGAAAAGAAACAAACTTGGGAAAGGGGGGTTCAAACAAACAAGATCCCCCCCTCAAATCCCCGATAACGGTGTTAGGAGAGTTTATTTCAATGCGTGTTATGTGACTAGGTTGTCATTGTTGTTTTATCAAGGTCCTCTGACGGGGATCCGTGTTGCCTATTAACCCAAATGCCCGCTTTCCCCCCCCGGTTCATGTCTTTCTTGTTCTTTTTTGGGTCAAACCGCATCGTTGTGGGGTTTTAGGGATTCACGGGAAACTTTTGGGGCAAAGGGGTGTTTTAGTTTTTAAGTCTTACGAAACATGCCAGGAATCAAGCAAATGGTAGTTGTTGAATGCCCTCAAGTGACTGAAATAAAACATGGCCTATCACCATCGAAAGGAGCCTCGGTAGTATAAACCCTAATCTCCCTGAGTCATATATACCTAGTCACGAGTGATGAACTGCGACTGGAGTTCCAGGATCTTTTCCTTCGAGCACCGAGACAAGGGGAACATGACATTGCTAGAACAACCCGGGGCCTACAATGGATCGCCTCCAGGGTTGGGGATTTGGATTGAACTGAAATAACGAGGCGAGGAGGGGGTCCCTGAAAGTGGCATTCCGTATCGAACTTGGTCGGCTTAGCAGCCTCATTTTTTTAATCAGCTCATGTCTCTTTCATCCCACCCCTTTTGGTGATCATATTTTTGGGGTGTGGTTCGGTTAGACCCCGCATGGGGATGATTTCTGCCCTTTTATTTTTGGGGTGTGGTTTGCACCGGAATTTGCCAGAGCGACGGGTGGCCATGTGACCATGCGAGATGCTGTGCAGATAGTTGCACACTCAAAGTGCAAATGTGATCAACTGTCGAAGGGGTTCAGAGCCTCCTACCACCACCCCCGTTCCGTACTGCTATAAACTTCTGGGGAATTGTGATGGGTGAGGGTAGGTGTTACTCCGGGGAGCCCCTTTGTTTGTCCCCGAACGACGTAGGCACGAGGATTGGGTTTTGGTCACGGTTTGTTTGTCTTGAGCTATCTTACTTCCTTCTCCGGCATGATAGAGCCGGCTTCATCTGGAGTGGCAAACAATTACAAATGCAAGAGAGCGTGACCTGGTGACGACATCGGAGGAGAGAGAGGCTGTGTTGGCGTGCGATATAGGACAATATGGAAAAGCCAAGGTGTTGAATGGGACGAGCGTTTCGCTTGGTTGGGCGACATCGCAGTGTTCCCTTTTCCCCGGAGAAGGCTATTGAATCGGCGCGGAGGGTGGGCAAACTGACGCGGGTTTCTGCGGCACAAGGAGGAGATAGGCAAGCAGCGGCATTCAGAATTTCGGAGCTAAGGTATGAGCAAGGAACCGGACAAGCAACGTAGGAGGGGGAGGTGTGCCGGAATCTGTGCCGGATTTCGGGGACACCCAGGGGAAAGTTCAGCCAGTTGTGGTTATTGAGCACGTGTGCGCATTCTTTGGCTTGCGATTGGAATCTGCAACAATCACGACGAGATACGAATGAGGGGAGAGGCGGCTGTCTGAGTTGTCAGGGCTGAGGCCGCAGGAGAATTAGCTTGGGAGCTAGGACGAGCTGCACCCCTCGAGCTTCAGCTGGGCAGTGCCGAGGCATGACGCATAGATAGTGTTTGGTGTTATCAGAGATGTTTTGACAAGATAAAATTATTCCTCCGGGATTGAGTTGCCTATCATTGGGGAACGTGAGTCGGGAGATGTCTGGGGTGTCTGGGCCAGGCCGGTGATTGGTGAATGCCTGCCCATCAGATTCACGGAACCGTTGGGCGGTGGCATTGATCTGCTTCATCGCCCACCTCGCTTGGGCATTAAGGCTGGTCACAGGAACCATGGAGCGGTCTAGCACTGCTACCAGGGTATCGGGGATCGATGCCAGAGCATGAGGATGGCCTCCAAGTCAAAAGGGGGGAGTGAGGCGTTGCGCCAGCCAGGCAAGCCGTTGTGCCCACCTCCATTTCCCGCGGCTGACGGAGCATCGGCAGCAAATGCAGTGAGCCTGGAAGCACAGATCAGCCAAAAAGAAAAGTGACGGAGGCGGCCGCGACGCTACCAGCTGCCAGTCGAGAATGAATGAAAGAGGCGCATGTGGGCCGAGCCAGCCCAACTCCAAACTGTCAGGGCCCTCACAAGATGGAGGGGTGAGATCGCCTAGCGTCTGATGTGCCTGCTCCTCGCCTGCACAGGGCGGGTCACGGATTGGAATCCGATACCAGCAGACGGTCGATTGGAAATCTGACTGACTGCTTGCCGGCTGCTCTCACGCCTTAGCCGTGCACAGATGAACCACGGAGCTAATTCACTCCTAGATCAACAGAGGCAATTAGGGGAGAAACGTTGCACATGGCATCACCCATCATCCTGACCTGGATCCATAGATCTAGTCACAAGACTGAGCAAGTATCCACTGCCGAGAGATGAAGAACTATACTTCCAAATTTGCGCGTCTTTACGTATCCTTTTCCCCGTGCAGGCTTGGATCGTAATAGAGTTCCCAGCCTATATCGGTGGGCGCACAAGAGGAGGCATGGATCATCCATTGGATGCTTGGCCATCCGACGAGCCAGCCACCCTTGATCTCCGATCCCTGGTCGTTTCGACCTGCTGAGGGTTATGCTGTGTGCTGTTAGCGCTAGTAGCATTCGAGCAGCTCGGGCATCCAATCTGGTGGGTTCCTCCTTTGAGTCGACGCACATTACGTAGGGGGTGCATGGATGCTCCATGGAAGCCCGTGTGGAGGTGGAGAGTAGGGCACAGGGACGATCGCTCGCCGCCCATCATTCTCCGATTTGGGCTCGGGCGGGCGATGCACTCGCACGAGTCACGGACTTGAGGCCGGAGGAGACAGGGAGCTCCGCATCCTGCTCGCTTGGCAGCTCCGTAAAAAGAAACTGAGGCAGACCAAGACGAAATTCACGCATAGGCGCAGCATATCCCGGATGAGGCCAACGCACACTAGCTGGGCCCGTATCATGCCATGTACTTCATTGCACAACATGGTCATAGGGTAATATGGCTCACGTACAGACCGTAGCGTGCCTGGTAGTCGTCAGCCAGGGCCAAAGGGCAGCGGACAGGACGCACGACTGGTAGCCGAAAGGGAAGGGAGAACAGACAGATCCCTTGCCTGCTTCCTGGCTTGCTCTGTTGCATGCATTGCATATTACTGCTCCGACAGGGTAGTGTATTACTCTCACAAGCTTCGTCGACGAGACCTGAGGAGTCATGTTTGCCAGCCACTCAGACGGGGTAACCTGAGCAAGTCCGTACGTGTTGTGCTCTTATTCGTTTACGAGGTCGAGCCTAGCAAGGAGGCAGCCTCTGTTTGCGTTTGGCTTGAGACATGGTGATGGCCGCCATGTAGGTGACTGACCCAGCATCTGTCATTTCCAATCGTGTGTCGGTGACTGGCGCTTAGTACGGTAGACTGCCACGCCTAGACTCGTTTCAGGCAAGGCCAACAGTGGCTGCCTGGCTGTGATTTGTGGGAGAGTGCCTAGGCGCGCGTCCATCCGGGGGCCATGGTGGTGTGGGTGAAAATCATCAGTAGGGCTGCTGGGTGCCTCACCTACTTCCTACCTTACTTGCAGGTACGGCCTTCAGGTACTCGGCTTACGGGTGGGATGCAAGCGATGCGAGGATATCAGTACATGCGCGGTACTTAGGACGACGGTGATGCATCGCAATGTCTGGACAATTGCCTCGTCCTGGTCGTGCCCAGCGAAGCGGTGGGTGGCCTTGACGCCGGGTAACGGCAAGGTACCAACCGTAGGACTTGGTCGCAAGGGCAAGTGCGCAGAGTAATCCGCGATGGTAGGCAAGTGCAATGCAGAGGGCACAGACATGCCGCGGACGCGACTTCCACTGCTGCTGGGCGAATGGGTGTGGGTAAGAATGCGGTCTGCAGGCGCAACTGCATCGCTAGGGCTGCTACGATGCACCTCCCTCAGGTAAGGTAGGCTGTTTGATAATAATAGACGAGGGAATTCAGTATTATTAGAAGGCTAGACGAAAGTAATCGCGGTCTAGGCTTCTTCAACCCCCAGCACTAGTAAAAACACACCTTCGCTTCAAAGTGTCTGCCATGGTTACGTACCACACACAATATGTGTGTCTTGAATTACCTTGGAGGTAGGCTCGAGCGTTCGCATCACCTACCCGTACCTAGGTAGGTAGGTAAACTAGGTTCCTAAATTTGCAAGGCCAATGTCCCTAATCCAACATCATCAATTAGCCACATGGAAATGAAACTCCAGCCAATCAGCAGAACCGTGCCGGGCGGAATGAACGAGAGAAGCCTTCTCGAAGCGGGAGGGGACTGGGGGGATCGCTTGACGCTGGCGAGGCGTTCTCACTGGGCATTTTCCCTCCCATTACTAAGGCCTCAACCACCACGGCCAAGGAGAGAGCCTAGCGAGCCGATCGAGACTGCTGACCCTGGCTGCGTTTGGGAAAAGACTGCCACATCATTTGCTGGGGGCAATTGGGTGTCATTTCCTCAGATTGCCCCATGAAATATTGAGTCGTGGATCGGTATTCGCATAGGTAAAAGGTAGTATCATGGCTTTCTCACCCGAAGCCCGCTCCACCCTGTAGCGCAGTGTGACTGTTGTAAACCCAAACACACGCAGTGAACTACAGCGGGTTGGAACCCCCGAGGTGTCCACAGGAGCTTGCGAGCCTAGTGGTAGACTTCCATCGTCATCTTGCATACACGCCTTCCCTCGGACTGGCTGGATTCATTTCCGTACCTACAGTAGGACTGACCCCTGCTTCCATTGGAATTCCACTCACCTCGCAGGGTCCATCCACTATAATCGCGCTGGTGTTGCTGACCACCCATCATCTACGTGTTCTTGATCCTGTAATGCTGCTGAAAAGTCGACAATCGGCTGTAGAGATTGGCCAGCCCGAGAAGCCCAATGTCGCGGCACTCAAGGCCGACGGACTGCCTCCGGGACGCTACAATCCCCCGAAGGATTTTATGTGGAAATGGATCGCAATTGATTTCCACGGGCCATCCCAGTAGCTCAGCCACTAGAATCAACACCAGCTCGAGCTATTAGCGGTCGCCATTGGCGCCTCACCTCTAGGGTATTGAGCAGGTACGTAGGGTAGACTTAATCCTATAATTCGTACGCTCGAGCCATGCGCCTATGCGAAACCAGATAGATGCCGTTTCCTGCCCCAGCCGTCGCATGCCCAAGAGGGGAGAGCGTCGCATCGTACAGTTGCGGCATGATGAGACGAGGAGCGCGCGCGAACACGCAGTGCAAGACGGACACAGGCACAGGCAGCCTCCCACCCACACAAAACACCACCGCGCATAACGGCTCCTGAGGCCCAGTGGTGGTCATGCGTCGTCGCTCGATGCCCACACCTTCTTTTCCCTCAGGCTTTCCCCCCCCTCCGGCTCCGGCTACTAATCGCTTTGACCCTTCCCCTCCATGCTGATGTCGACATACCTTACCATGTCACCCCCGTGGATATCATCACTCACTCGCATACGGCGCCCCACACGGAGCTCTGGCTTGTCTTTGTGCAACCAACCTGCCGCCCATCGTGTTGCTCCCACTTCGGTCCCGGGGTCGAGGACTGACACTTCCGCAGCAATTCGAGCAAACCACTGCGCTAGACCTTTTTCGTCAGTAGCCGGCTCGAAGTCGTATGTTTATCTTCGTAGGTGCCTACTTAGGTAACGTACTCAACTTAAAAGGAGTAAAAAGGGCGGAAAGTTTTGGCCGCTGTGATCATGGCGTTCTTAAAATTCTAGAGACACAAAAAATTCTGGTAATATGAATTGTGGCTGTTGAGTCATAAGCGTACCTTACGCAGCACTTGATTTTGTCTTGGCGAAAGAGTAATTTGCAATTCCATGGTGTTGGAGTAATGATTCTATCAGTTGGCTTTACTAGTTCAAAAAAGACCAAAGTGGTGGTTTGGTCGAAATTGTTACTCTGGGCTCTGCCCACCCCCCCATATTGCTGCTTGCTGATGTTACTACGCTTGCCCATGTGCTCCGTAGTCATGAATGAATTGGACTGAACGGGATTCACGACATTGCCACTCGTGTGAGAAGGGGTTCTTGTGTGCTCCGTGGACACGAAGCTTGACGAACATTGAGTTGATGTGTGGCCGTGGTGGGTGGCTTGATCGTTACCCCTCTGGCACTGGCCGCTGTGGTCGCACTGGACAGAATACCTGTAGATCGATAACTAACAGCAACGCACGCAAACCGCCAAGTAACCGCCCGTCGAAGCTTGGGATCTGGCATGCTCCGCCTCACCCAGCATCGACCAGAAGATGATTACACAAGTCGGAGGGATTGGCCGATAGCTTTGCAGCTGTCTTTGTTTCCTCGACGTGAATTGCTGTCCTGTTCTGAGCAGCGCATGGACTCTGCAAGGATGGTATCGTGGGAGGGTACTAATACCACCCCACTGACGACGCAGTACTCAAGTACCGTGCCTACTAACTTTTGGAGTCACCAAAGTCCCTTATGTGCGTCCCTTGGGTGGCTTGCTTCACGGCACCTGCCAGCCAACCTTGCGACGTCTGCCATGGCATGCGACGATTGCTGCGGCCACACAATCGACTGGGCACTTGGGGTGGTAGAGAGGGATCTTGTGGCCGCCTGTTTCCTCCGGCGCATTGTCTCGCCAATTCGACGCGGACCCATCCATGGTTCTCCCTCACTGCCAGGGCGTCGGGTCCCTAACATGCAGGAAACTTATCGGGCCCTACCAGCGTAGTTTCCCTAGCTCGGGCCTAGGGGCCTCCCTAACCTCAGTGCAGCCAAGGCCAAGGCGTCCCAGGGGATCTAGCTGCCTCGCTCGCTGGCTGGCCCTACCTCCCTCCCTCCTTCAGTTTTGACCTGCTGAGCGCAATGCTCACAACACGTCCATCCATCTTTCGGTGGTCTCCGATGCAGACTTGGCTTGCGCCATCCGCCGGTACTTCCCCGCCCAAACCAAGCGATGCTCCATGCTGGGATGTAGATAGTAGGCAAGGTCAGGTATGAATCATAACTCCGACCACTGCAAGCGCACACACATAGCACGCACGCACGTAACACACACTTCTCGACGCTCACTGCTCCACACCAACCAGGGGGGCCTAACCCCAAGGGCTCCCTGAGAACCCTGTTGAAGATACACCCCCCGCTCCTAGTGCTACCGCAGCATCGATGGAAGTTTTCGAGAAAACATCAAGTCTCAGATTAGTCTAGCGTGTGTAGTGGGCCTTTCTGGTCACATTGCCCCTGGTCCTTGTCCCCAGCCTACTCTCGCCCGCTCCACATTTCAAGTTGGGACGGCAAGGCACAGGACCGCATGTAGTCATCTAGATGGGCAACAGGAGAAGGCCATCCTCTACCTACCGCCTCATTCCTCATTCTGCCACCGATGTGAGAGATCAGCCCTGCCTCCCACCCTGGACGGACTGCTGTGATGCACATCGTGTACCGGTGCAGCCCGTCCTCCCCCGCTCCACCCCTCCAACTCCCATCCTGTAATGACACGCCCGCTACATACTTTAAGACTGAGAGCTTTCCTCCCCTTGGCTCTGGGCTAACCTCCACCGCTTTCTTTCTTGCTTCAACTTTGAATTGCTTCATCCTTGAATATACAAAAGTCCTGTGTCCTGGTTCGACTGCTTGACAATTAACTCAAGGCTTCCCTCTGCGGCTTTCGACTTCCAACGCTCTTGTTGAACCTTCTTCCCCCCCTGGATGTCACATCCCGTGGCGCACTTGCTTGATAGGTCCTCCATCGTCGGCGGGCCTGCCTTTTACTACACAATCAGATACTTTTTTAGTATTAAGTTTTGCTTGGTCGGTACTCTGAGGGAGCCGCCCTAACACGGTTCTCGCACTCACACATATATATCGTCCTCACTCTCCCAACTTGGTGGAATTTCCTTCATCAACCACAACAGCTTTGAGCACACTCTGTTCCCTCGTCACCACATAGCACATCGCTAAGACGACTCTTCGTCGTCGTCCTATAACAGATCGCTAAGACAACATTTCCTGCTCCTCGCCTAACGCATCGTTAGACATCTCTTCCTCGTCATCACATAAATCTCTTCCTCATCCATCGCACACATTATCGTTAGACATCATGGATACTTGGGAGACGGTTTATCTTGACTTCTCCGCTGCGACCAGGTGGGATGAATGGCGCAATGGCATGCCTCTCTCTGGACCCTCTGAGGAGTCCTTCAATGTCTACGGCTCGGTGCCACTCTCGCGAGGCGTCTCGTCGGAGGGTAGCACCACTAACCCTCTATCCCTCCCAGGCTCGCCCATGAGCGCCAACTTTGACTCGGTTCAGAGCAGCCCTGTCTTTGGACCGTGCTTTGATCCGGCCTTGGGTCAGTTCAACTTCGTCCCGGATCTCTCTCTCACCCTGGATGGGTCGGCACCCGCCTCCTTCCCCATGTATCCCCAGACACTCATGGAGATCCCAAGGACTGTGCCACACCGGCAGAGGTCTCCCATCTCCAACCACCTCGCCCGCAGAGCTCGCAAAGCTCGCCCGCAGATCAAGCCCCCGGGTGGCTATATTTGCTTGTCGGTTGAATGCGTTTCTGGTCCCTTCAATCGCTACGCTGACCTCGAGCGTCACTACCGCGACTGCCACCGTCCAGAGGAAGAGCGTGATGCCTTCCCGTGTGACTATAAGCGCTGCCAGCGCAACACTGACCCTTTCCGCCGTCGCGACCACTTCCGTGACCACCTCCGCGACTACCACAAGGAGGACATGGAGAAGCGTGGCGTCCCCGTCACCGACGAATGGCTTGAGGGCCGCAACGTCCCATCAGACTGGTGGCGCTGCATCAAGTGTCTCACGCGCATCTACGTCGAGTCGCATGGCTTCGAGTGCCCTGGCTGCAAAGTCCCCTGCCACGAGAAGCGACGCGAGAAGCGCCTGCAATTGGCTTGATGTCATCATGCCATTCCAAGTATAAGCCGCCACGCAGCTAACTCGACACGTTTGTACCCGTCAAACCTAGACGGGAAGAAGTCTACTAGCGGAGGCAAACTTTAATGGCTTGATGAACCTTTTAACGACCTTTTAGCGGCCATGTTCTTTTTCAATTGTTTGTAGACTTTCCTTATTGGGTTGGTGGGCTGGCTTTGGAGTTTTGGCTCTTTTGCTTTTGAATATACGACACACCGGTCTGGAGCGCAGATAGATTTGTTTTAACATGATATCCTTATTGTTTTTTTATCAATTGCCTTCTTTGCCGCTTTCCATCAATTGACTTCGTCTCTTCCCACTCTGCTGCCACCCGCCGGCGCCACCCCAAATTGAACTTTGACCCCAAGTGCCAAATGCCACCTCGACATGCCTCACACACATCAAGTGACCTCCACTGTGACCTGCGACCTGCGCTGTTTTGCCGTCTGCCTAGAGTGACTTCATCTGCATCATTGTCTCGTCTCATGCTTATCCTCCTCCATTCCAGACGCACGACCTGCATGGCGCATCCCCGACCTCTACTCATCCCTCCACACCCCGTCACCTCGTCCCGTCGCTCCGCCTGCTGATCCTCACCCCAAAACCACCAAACCACCTTAGGCACCCAGATTTCTCCCCCAATTCCCCCACTCCCCAAACTATGTACCGTACCTACCTTACCTACCACCCGTCTATACGTCCTACACGAGACAAAAAGAAACACAATCGCGAGGGGCCGTCCCCGAGACTCAACACGGGGCCCCAATTGGTCCCCCGTGAAATCACCAATCGCCACGTAACGCGATCCCCCCCCCAAGTCCCGCGTAAGATCTGCATGCCACATTTCCCCTTTCCTCTTCTCACCATACCAACCCCTGCTTCCATTCTGCTTCTCTGCATCTGCCTATCTCGTCAACGCCCCCCCTCCTGACCGCTTTCCAGGGATGCAAGGCCCCCCTCCCCTGTCAGTGATAGCCCACCCAGCCTTGTGCCACCCTTTCCCCCCCATCGTCACGGTCTCACCTGGCACTAGAAGGTTTCGTGGAACAAAAAGAAGGCGCGGCAGAAGGATGCCTAGCGTCGCTCTCAAGCCGGGGTATCGGGGAGGAAAGGGAAAGGGAGGGGGGTGGTTACGATGACCACTGGGAACAGACGCAGAGCTGCAGGGTGACTGATAGTTGTCACTTGCAGGATTGGTAGGTCGGTTCTGCATACGCCCCTCCTCCAACCCCCCCTGGCCTTCTTTCTGACCTTCTGGAAGGTTTTGGGTCGCAGCCAAGGTGGCCTGTATTACGACCCTCACGATTCCCCATGTCTTGATCTGATCGAACAGAGTGGGTGATTGGGTGTTCTCGGATGGTGGGCCTGTGATGGTGCAGGCCCCTGTCAGCTGAAGTGGCAGTACCCCCCCTGTCGTATCGTAGTACTAGTCTCATGCACCGAATACTTCTAGAAGCGCCATGGAAGCTGAGGTATGTGGGGATCCTGTCGCTCAAGCCCTGTGAGTGCGTATCGGGCAGGGATGGGCAGAGATGGGTAGAGAGCAGGTGGATTCGCTGCCCAAAGTTCTAGCGACTTATTCTGACATTGATCAGCTGCGTTCTCTGCGCGTGGTGATTGGGTTGTTTTCATTGCTAGCCGATCCTCTATTTACATTTCATTCGAGATTATGCCTGGCTTGGTTTCATTCGTACTACCGCACCCACACCGCACAAGCTGCAACGTCATCCCACTCACAGCCTTAGTACCCTTACAATGCTACTCCCCATGCCGTTCCTAGATGGCTAGACATTAATGAGAGGAAACACGAAGCATATTGTGTCCCTCGTGACTACATGTGCGTCATTCGTCGTCAATTGGATCGCCGTCGAAATTTGGCATCGCTCGAATGTCTGGCCTGTGCGCGTCCCTCTTCTTCTTAGGTCGTCCTCTACTTCTCTTGAGTGGGGAATCCTTGGGCATGGGGGTTGCATTGGTCTGGGAGGCGAGCCTGCCAATGAATGGCCTGGGATGATGGAACTTGAAGTCATCTTGCTCCGGATTCCCCGACAAAGGCCCCTGCTCATACCACTGTGGCTTGTCCTCAATCAGGCAATTCTCTAGAAGGTTGGAAGAAGTCTCATCCGACGACCATTCGAAGCCACCTGGATTGTCTGAGACACTCTTGCCAAATGATGTGATATCGGTGTCTCCATTCGGTGTCGACTGCACATATGCTGGGTGGCAAGATGACTGGCTATCCATCAGTTTCGTGGCAGTGTCCGCTTGTACTTCGCCAATAGTCGACTCTGTCAAGTCGCTGTCGTTATCGAAAATGAATTTCTTCCAGATCTCATCATCGTCCGCTTCCGTCAAAGTGCCCGTTGCCTCTCCCAGCAGATCAGCATAGCTCATCTGCGGAGCTTCCTCTACTCCTACAAAGTCATCAAAGGCCTGGAAAGCTGGCGCTACGAGTAGGTCGCAAACAGAAGGTAGCATCAAATCCTGGCTTGTTGCGTGGACCTCCGTCGGATTGACCGTGGATACCTTTTCGGTTCCGGCGCCAGGGATACTGTGTTGACTATCTTGTTCCCATTCGATCTGAGTCATACTCGTTTTCTTGTTCTCGCTCTCTTCGGATTCTTCCACAAGTGTCACTGGTGATTCAGGCTGAACTTGGGTGCTCTCGCGAGAAGAGGATAAAACGGGACTAGCAGCTGTTTCTGAGGAGGCGTTATCCTTGCTAGAACAACGTTCAAGACGCGGAGAAGGCAGCCGGTGCGAGGGGTCCTATCCCTCGCTGATTCCCGGCGTGAGAGTCGAAGAAATTTCGTATTCACCATCTTGGATGAAATTGTGATCAACAGAAAAATCGTCCATACTGTGCAGCCAATTCCTCCACTCTTCTTCTTCGTCGCAATTCTGATATGGAATCGGTCCTCCCAACTCCACTATCATGCTGCCAGACTGCTGCGGTTCCGGGGATCTGAGATCGAACAATCGGGGTCGCTCGCCTCGCGAAGGTTGAGGATGGTGAAACTCAGCCGGGGTAGACTGAACCTTGAATTTCGGTTCCTCGTCTCCACAACAGCCATCCAAGGAATTATAGTTCATGTCCTGACCATGTAGAATTCCCGCATTGTAACTAGTTCCCTGCAGATGGCAGTAAGGCGGAAGGGTGTTGGCTTGGACAGAAGGCGAGGTTGACATCCCAAATGAATGGTGAGATGGGCTTGAAGGTACATGTACCGGCGTACACGGTCCAAACGACTCCCAATCCTGAAAGCTGGTGAGGAACTCGCTCGTCAAACTGGGAGTAATGAGCGAGTTGTTTTGATTAGACCATTTCAAGTTGTGAGCACCAATTCGAATTTGCATGGGATCATCTGCTTTGTATGCAGAATCGTGGCCCCGGTAGGCGCCCTTTCTTTGGTGGTTGAAGAGATTCTCCGGCCTTGGATGAGAAAAGTCGACAATCAGCGGCTTTTGGACCTCGATGCCAGTCCAGTCTCTTTTCTCAAGGAGTTTTCGACGCTTTGACTCGATATCCGGAGATGGAGCGTTTGGCGAGAGGCTTTTGGAGATGGGAGAATCTCGCCCTCGTTTCCGGCCCATCTCGAAGAATGGTGATACAAACGTCTCGGGTGCCATTTTTCTGCACTCGTTCGATAGACGCTGAGTCCGTCTTCGAGATTTCTGTACCGAAGTCTGAGGAATTGAGGTGATCTTGGGATTGACCAGGGCAGATTTTGGTGTTTGAGGGATGTGATCTGGAACAAAACTGCGGTTCGTCCCCTCTGAGGTGTTGGTGAGAACGGGCCGTTGGCACTGGTGGGCACGCGCTTTGGCAAAATATTGCTTCTGACGAGCGGCATCCTCGTTCCAGCCTCTTCGCCGTGAATGACGTGCGAGAGCGCCTTCGGTCCAGTTCATGGTGGAACGTTTCTGGTTCGAAAGTGAGGAAGAGCTGAGCAAGGTGAAGAAAGGTGGCAGGTTAAGCCAACTAGGAATCCCATTGATCCACCGGTATCCTCATTGTCAGCAGAGTGAATCCAAGCTGAGAGGTGGCCGGAAAGTATTGTTGAGAAAGGTCCAGTGATCTGAGTCGAAGGTGACTCGGCTGCGAAGATACGTATCGGGCCGTTGACAAGTGGCAGGAGCGATGTACCGAGAAAGGCGCCGGGCTTTGGAAGTGAAGGGCCGGCTCTGGCTCTACGGAAAGAACACGAAACAATGGGCAGCTGCTGCGATTGAAATAAGAAACATCAAATGAGTAATTAAGAGGCAGGCGGTCGAGAGGGGAGAAGATTATAGTTGAATTGGCATTCATTTGGCACCTAGGCTGGACGTTAGGTTATACGCTATTGGCAGGGGAAATAACATGGCTGAAATCAATCAAGTGGAACATCATGCAATGGGGACATGAAACTACAGGCCAATTACGAGCTCTTGATGTCAGCCAGATTGTGCATCATTGAGCTTTTTCATGTGAAAATCCCCAAGAAGATTGCGGTCGCGAGGAGCGTGTTGAGGGGGATTGGACCTTCCCGTCTGACCAAGTGGCGAGAGGATCATCTTAGAATGTAACGCCTGATCCACCACATCATCCTGCAGGTTCGTTCCAGCCAAGCCTGCAGCCTGTCTTGCTTGCTTGATATAGCGTCAGGTAGGTGCCATAGGCAAGCATTTTGATGGGGATCATGCGAAGAGACTGTGTCAGGTCTAGTCACGAAGAACAATGCAAGCGGATGTACGACATGAGGTAGGCAGGCTACAGGATGCGCATGCACATGAGTAGTTTCGTCGTCACAAGTAGACGAAAGCGTAAACATGCTACGGGTTAATTCCTTGAGCGCCAAGGAGCGGAGAAATTGTCTCAATTCCTGGTACTAACGAAGTGTGAACATGGCACTGTCTGCCGAACTGATTATTCTCGTGAATCCGTATTTGTTCTCTTACTATTGCCACCGACAAAGGTGGCATGTGAAGTGGCCCTCGATTAGGTGACTCAGATACTCTGCCTTCAGCTTGCGCAAGTGCATGCTGTGTTACTGATTTGGGTGAGTCAATCCTCTATAATAATTGATTCGTGTTCCTTAATCACTGAGCAGAGAATAGAAGCGGAGAACTAGACATGGCTGCGGGAAATCCCGTGAGAGAGGGACCATCGCTCATCCTGGTCTGTCGAAATACGATTGCTCATCATTCCGCAACTGACGTAGAATGAACAATGGAGAGAGCGAAGAGAATCAATTCTGAGATGGGGATAAAAGTCTGTAGCTTGGGTGGCTGGGATCACGAACTTGTGACTTTCTTAAAATACGAATGGTACTTCATGAATAGTACAGGAGTAGATTCATTCAGGATGCGACCAGCTACAGTTCGTCAAACGCTAATTTCCTTGGTACTGATATTTTTGCAAATCAGAGCGATCAATTTCCGCTTCCGGTCCTAGCCTACCTCTCGATATATCTTCAAGGAAGGAATTGGAGGTGGTAAGAGATAGGGAAACCTTCCCATCAGCCTTCGATCATCTGCCCTGACAATAATGACTTTTTCTACATTTGTGCCCCATATCTCACACTTTTCAGGAGATGGTGACGTAGATTAAATGCCTGGGCGTACTAATGTCGTGGAATGTCCCAAAGTTTGTCCCCATCCTGGTTGTAACGGTGGCCAAGCACGTAAGGGACCACGAGATATCTAGGTGCTTTATTTTCAAGGACTACCTATTCTAAAAGACTGCAGCAGAGCCAACCAAAAAAAAAATCACTGTAATTGAGGAACCTATTCTCATCTGGATTGCATGGTATTTGGCTTGCAAACACATCTGCTTAGCTGACAGTGGAGGGTCGGAATTGCGAATTTCCCTGACTTAACTGGCTTGAAGCTAGAAGAACTTGGATTTCAAGAATATGAGCTTTGCCGTTGAGAGTGTAGCTGGGCGCATCAGGTGGAGCTTGGGACTCTATCGCGACCAATAATTGTGAGACACTAACAGAGGCACCATTCATGAGCGCAGAAGAAGGCCACGAAGTGCTAAGCACCGGGTCAAAACCTCCAACGTGAATATATGTCTCGATGTTCTCAATGGAATAATAATAATTAAAGCATGTAGTTGTCTCACATAATGCATTTTTACACCTCAGTTTTGTGGCTTGTCCTACATTCGGCCGTATTGTGGTGTAGACGCTAAACATATCTCGTCTGGAGAGGCCACTTATCGCTTGTGATGACGCGCCGCACTGAACAGCTACCTGTCCCGATCTGACAGGTCTCTTATCTAATCCAGGGCTGGCATCGCCGCAACCTCTCAATACACAACCCTCGCCATTGCACACCACAGAACCCACGGCCACATACTCGATTGATCCGCAATTATTCACAATGGCGGACGCAGACGAGAAGGCGCGGAAGATTGCCGCCGCCAAGAAGCGCGTGAGCACTGCCCGCAGCGGCCCAAAGACCCCAGCATGCTGATTGATCCCAGGTCGAGCAAATGAAGAAGAAGAAGAAGAGCGAGACCGCCAAGAAGACCAAGGAGGAACCTTCCAAGGAGGACGAGGCCGAGCCACCGACCCCGGGCCCTGCGCCTGAAGCTGAAGCTGCACCCGAGCCAGCTGAGGACGAGGATGACGCCGCTGAGGAGAAGGCTGAAGAATCGTCTCCGGCGGGAACCCCTTCGCTCGCACAGCAGTCCAAGCTCCGATCAACCTCTTTCCGTGCTGGTGGCCCTGGCGTTGCATCACCGCCCGACGGGGACACCGCACCCGATATCTATCGAAAGCACGTTGCCAGGATAGAGGAGCTCGAGAAGGAGAACAAGCGTCTGGAGAAGGAGAGCACAGACTCCGAGAAGAGATGGAAGAAGGCGGAAGAAGAGCTGGCTGACCTGCGCGAAGCTGAGGGAGACGATGTGCCTGCCCCTCACGGTGACGACGATGTCGAGAAGTTGGTATGTACCAGGCTTACATCTACAGATAGCATTCGCAACTTGATACTGACCCAAAGATCTAGAAGAGCGATCTTGCCGCTTTGGAGCGCCAGAACACGCAGCTGCAGCAGCAGGTCTCGCGCACCTCTGGTCACGTCCGCCGTTCCTCCGTCTCGATCACCTCCCCAGCTGATCTTCAAGCCGAGCTGGACTCCAAGTCATCCACCATCGAATCAATGGAAATCGAGATCTCAAAACTCAAGGCTCGCGTCGAGCGACACGAGAGCGGCGCCACGTCCGAAAAGGAGCAGGTCACTGCCCTGGAGGAGAAGCTCGCCCGGGCCGAGGCGGCGGCTGGAAAGGCGCAGCGGGAGCTCCAGGACCTGAAGCGCAACCTGGACCGTACGGCGGAAAAGGCTGTCCGCGAAGGCAGTGAGAGAACCAGTGCCGAGACCAAGGTTCGAACTTTGGAGCAGGAGCTGCGGGAGGAGAAGGGCGCCAGGGAGGAGCTGGCCCTGAGGGCCGAAAGCCTCGAGATGAAGGTCAACACATTGACGACTCTTCACAAGGAGCAAGATACAAGGCTACAGGGGCTGAAGAAGGAGAAGGAGGCTGCAGAGAAGCTGTCCAAGGAGCTGAGAACCAAGGCGGAGAAGCTGGAGAACGAGAATGTCAAGCTACGGGTCCGCAAGTCCACAGACGGTGGCGGCGGCCTTGACGACGAAGGTGTGGATGAGCTTGAGAATGAGGATAGGGTCAGGCTGGAGAAGAAGATCCGGAGCCTCGAGAAGGAGAACCACGAGCTTCGCAGTGGTGCCTGGATCGAAAAGCGCCGCGAAATGGAAAGCACCGGCAATGGCTTCCAGGATGTCGACCTCTCCCTGAGCCCTCACATGGGTCAGCAGAGAAAGACCGCTGGCGGTATCGGGGACTTCTTCACAAGTGGGCTCAATGCACTTGCCGGAACTGGAGGTGATGATGAATTCTTGGAGGACGACGACTTGGAATTCGATGAGGATGCGTTTAGAAAGGCACAAGAAGAAGAGAGCAAGAATCGTCTAGAGCGAATCAAGGAGATCAAGCGGGCGCTGAAGCACTGGGAGGGATGGAGGCTGGATATTGTGGACATCCGAAGAGGAGGACGTGAAGGTATTGGCGAGATCTTTGACGTCTAAGAGTGGTCAAATATCGTCTACCACAGGTTTTGTAAACTATGTATTTCTTTATGGTTATTCATAAATACTAAGAAAAAGGCGAGCAAATGAGGCCTTGGTAAAATTCATTTAATGGTGATTGCAATAGCGTCGGCATCTCCGCATTCTACGTTTGTCTGCGGGTTTACGTAGCCATTTGGATCGGTGAATTACAAACTCATCACTTACATCATACCCAAGACCTAGAGTGGGTATCATAAGCAAGAAAACTCAGACTACGATCGCACATCACTCAACACTGGCACTCTACATTCACTATGGCATCAGCGAGGCTCAACTTCCTCATCACGGGCGCCGGGAGAGGCATAGGACGAGGCCTCTCCCGCGAGCTGCTAAACTGCGGGCACAGGGCGTTCCTCGTCGACTCCAACCCCGACGAGCTGCACCACACAGTACAGCTCCTCACCAAAACGCACAATGTTCGCAGCGACTTCGACTCCCTGACGGCGGACGTGCGGGACCCCGGCCACGTCAGGCTCGCGGCCTCGCGTGCGGAGGGGCTTTTCGAGGGCAAGCTGGACTGCCTGGTCAACAACGCGGCCTACACCGGCGGCGTGGGGGGCACGAAGCTGGAGGACATGACGGTGGAGGAATGGAACAGGAGCCTGGAGACGAATCTGACGGGGCCCATGCTGTTCACGCAGGCGTGCCTCCGGATGCTGGCCAAGGCGAGGGGTTGCGTGATCCACGTCTCGTCGACCAGGGCGCTGCAGAGCGAGCCGCACAACGAAGGATATTCCACCACCAAGGCCGGCCTGCTCGGCATGGCGCAGAGCATGGCGGTCTCGCTGTCGGAGAAGGGCATCAGGGTCAGCAGCATCCTGCCCGGCTGGATTCACGTGGAGAACGAGTGCAAGGCCGCGGACGAGGACGGGAGGAGGTGGGAAGACGGCATCTCGGAGCGGGATGCTAGGTGGCAGTTGACGGGCAGGGTGGGCAAGGTTGAAGACATGGTGAAGGCGGTTCTTTATCTTGCCGAGAACGACGGGGTGACAGGGGCCGAGCTGGTCGTCGACGGAGGAGTAACGAGGAAGATGGTGTATCCGGAGTAACGTGGTGCGAGGCGGCGGCAGTGTGGGATGATGTGTGGGCTGGTTGTGTTCTGAAGTCTGGCTATTGCCGCCGGTTAATTATATACCCCCTCATTGCTCCCATGCCTCAGCCAGTCGCGGATGTCCAGCTCTGCCTGGCTCATTAGTGAAGATCCTGTTTCAGTCCCTGCACGGAATGCATGTTCTGGAAATGCGCGGTGTACTGCCAGCCATTCACAGGCGCTCAGTCAAGCAAGGAGAAAGTCAATTGATTTACCCCAACCACTAGCTGAGACAGGGACGGCGAGAGGAGCTCCTGGGTTGACAGCATGCCGCCTATATGCGTGTCAGGCTCCTCTCGGCAATACCGCTCGGCCGGTCGTGTTAATCTAGGACCGAGAACGGCGTTATGCATAACTGCTGGCGGAGGAATGAGGACTTGCGTAATTTAATGGTCTGTAATCACATATCAATTTAGTAGCAGAAACGGACGCCCCGCCCCGCCGTGGCCTAGCGCTTGCTGCCCTCCGATCGGTCGGTGAAGCCTTCCCAGTTCCTGCTTCCCCGCAGTGGCCACAAGACCCTGCACACATGCAACGTACTGAAGGCGCCTGGAGCAACGTGTAACCACAGGCTAGTACGATACAGGACAAAGGAATCACCATCCCGGGCCTGCACCCCTCGAAAGGCTGGAGTGATGTGCGCTGGTGTGGCAGCTCGCCTGCAGAATTCACTGTCCAGATGATCATGCGCAGTTGTCCACGTCGCGGCAAGAGGCCATCGTCCAACTGTAGGGCAGGGAAACCGGCTTACACAACCACATCAAGTAACCTGACCCATCCGAGCTTGCCTCCGCGCACAAGTGAGGAGGCGGCGGCAGACTAGTATAAAAGATCACCAACCAGCCTTTGCCCCCCACTTTGTTGGAGGAGCACAGCTCGTTCTCCGTTCGCAATTCCTGTCCCGATGGTCGGAGGTAATCGTCTGGTCAGGGCGAGCGAAAAAATAACACGCCCATCCGCAGATTCAGTCCTGCTTGGAATCATCCTACCTCCCATCCCGAGTCCCAGGTCCATTGACATTGACTGATCAATCTGCCTGCTGCCGCCGTCACGTAGGCCGTTGCGGTTGAATTCTGTATCCTTATCCAGGTACGTACGAGCCTTTGCTGTCAAGTTGGCCCGCATAAGGCTTCACCCGGACAGACACACCAAGAAGGCGCTCCTTCTGCAGGCTGCTCCATATCCGCCCGTCCGCTCTCACTGGTGCCACAATCCGGCAATCCCAAGAGCTCTCACCCTCGGCTGTCCGTGGCCTACCCGCGGCGAACTTCCGAATCTTCCTCTAACGTCGCATCGTACCAATAGGCAGGCCACAGCGACCATTTATCACTGCTCTTCCTTTCCTCCTTCGCCATGTCTTCCCTCCTCCGAACTTCCCTTCGCCATCCAACTCCTTTCCTCCGTCCTCTCGCAGCATCTTTCGGCGCCACACAGACCAGATCGCCCATCTACTTCCGCACTATGGCTACCCTTCAGAAAATCAAGGTTAAGAACCCTGTCGTCGAGCTTGATGGCGACGAGATGACCCGCGTCATCTGGCAGGTCATCAAGGACAAGTTCATCTACCCCTACCTCGATGTTGACATCAAGTACTACGATCTCGGTCTCGAGTACCGCGACGAGACCAACGACCAGGTCACCATCGATGCCGCCGAGGCCATCAAGAAGTACTCTGTCGGTATCAAGTGCGCCACCATCACCCCCGATGAGGCCCGAGTCGAGGAGTTCAAGCTAAAGCAGAGTATGTGTTGTATTTCCCCAAAAGCCATGGCGGGGCACCCACCCGCCTCTCTGGCTCTGCCCCTCCACAATCCATCCCCCCCTCCACACATAGTGCAAGCACCACTCCCACCACTGCAGATCGATCGGGTAATTAACACATCGATGGAACTCTCTGTTAACCAACACATGTGATTTTTAGTGTGGCTCTCCCCCAATGGTACTATCCGTAACGCCCTCGGTGGCACCGTTTTCCGCGAGCCCATTGTCATTCCCCGCATTCCCCGTTTAGTCCCTGGCTGGGAGAAGCCCATCATCATTGGCCGTCACGCCTTCGGTGACCAGTACCGCGCTAAGGACACCGTCATCCCCGGCCCTGGCAAGCTGTCCATGGTCTACACCCCCGAGGGTGGCGAGCCTCAGGAGATCGAGGTCTTCCAGTTCAAGAACGGCGGTGGTGTCGGTCAGACCCAGTACAACACCGACGAGTCCATCACCGGCTTCGCCCACGCCAGTTTCAAGCTCGCTCTCGACAAGAGCCTGCCCCTGTACATGAGCACCAAGAACACCATTCTCAAGAAGTACGATGGCCGCTTCAAGGACATCTTCCAGGAGATTTACGACACCCAGTACCAGAAGGAGTTTGAGGCCAAGAAGATCTGGTACGAGCACCGTCTTATCGACGACATGGTCGCCCAGATGATCAAGAGCTCCGGTGGTTACATCATGGCTCTCAAGAGTAAGTTTTCTGCCTTTTTTTGTATTTCTCAAAGTCTAACAAATTGGTTCTAGACTACGACGGTGACGTCCAGTCCGACATCGTCGCCCAAGGCTTCGGCTCTCTCGGTCTCATGACCTCAGTCCTCATCACCCCCGATGGCAAGACTTTCGAGTCCGAGGCCGCCCACGGTACCGTCACCCGCCACTACCGTGAGCACCAGAAGGGCCGTGAGACCTCCACCAACCCCATTGCCTCCATCTTCGCCTGGACCCGTGGTCTCGTCCAGCGTGGCAAGCTCGACGACACCCCCGAGGTCGTTGCCTACGCTGAGGCTCTTGAGAAGGCCTGCATTGACACTGTTGACGTTGACAACGTCATGACCAAGGATCTTGCCCTCGCCTGCGGCAAGAAGGAGAGGAGCGACTACGTCACCACAAACGAATACCTCGATGCTGTTGAGAGACGTCTCAAGAGCACCCTCAAGGAGAAGCTGTAAATGTCGACAACCATCTTAGAGAGGACAAGTATATAAATGATGATTTTTCGAGGACCATTGGTTTGGGTGAAGAAAAAAGGACACTTCACACTTTTGCATTTTACATATTGCTTCAATTCTAGATAGACACTCGCGCGCATCATCACATGCCATCAGGCTTCTGTTTTCGATAACATGATTATGCCAAGAAGCCGTAGCATCATTGATGATTTTGGATAGAGCGCAGGACACCTGGAAAGAAACAGAAAAACCATGGTTAAACCAAGAAAAAAAAATACAAATAAAGTCATTTCCGATGCATCACTGCCCACCAACGCGCACCTGTCATGTTATTTCGTATGCCTATAGACACTGAGGATGATACCAATCTCTGAATCGCCCAAAAGCGGTTGGCTCAAAGGGACATGCCGTACGCTGTAATGAAGCTCTCGCGAGCGACTCAAAAGTGTGTTCCCGCTGTAGACTATAACAAACTATTTCTAGCACCCTCTTGATTAAACGCCTATATCGGAGATTCTGTCTCCGATTCTCATTTTTTTGGGTTCCATCCGCAACTCGAGGTTATTATATAATACACGGTAGACAAAAAAGAGGAAAAATGAAATAGAAATACTGCCTTGACAAACCCCCATTGAGAAAAACACCCGTAAAGATAAAACCCGGAACCCTTGCTGTGAGCCAGGAAGCCAGATCTGTGATCGCTGTCCGCTCCCGTCCTGCCCTCCTCTCTCCCTCCAATGGCCATGGCCCTGACTGTAGTTTAATCCGCCTCAGCGGACGCAGCCAGCGCCTCCCTGCTCTTGGACTTGCGAACGGTCGGCGTCGCCTCCGCGCCCTCGCTCTTGCGCTTCTTCTTGGTCGGCCGGCTGGTGGACCCCTTGGGACGGTAGCCCTGGTCGTCCTCGGTCACACGCTTGCGCTTGCCGCCCTTGGCGTTGTTGGCGGGCGTGGAGGTGTTGCGGTCCCCGTCGTCGTCCATGCTCACGTCCACGTCCGCGGCGGCGGCTGCGGCGGCGAGCGAAGCCCGGGACCGCTTGGTGCCCTTGGGGACCTTGGGCGTCTTGCCGCCTCGCTCGCCTCGGGCGCCGCCGCGCGACTTGCGGCCGCCGGTGTGGCTGGGGGTGTGGGTGGAAGCGGCCTCGTCGGCTCCGCCTGCGGTGCTGGCGTCCTCGTGAGACTCGGCCCCTGGTTCTTGGATGCCCTGGAGGAAGATATGGGGGGCGTGGCGGCGGAGCCAGCTGGTCGCGCTGTTGGGGTTCTTGAGGAGCGGGTGTAGGGGAGGGTTGGTGGTGGGATGCGCTAGGGGGGCGAGGGTTGGGACTGGGTTGTCCGGTTCGATGTTCTGGTCGATGAGGTGGAGGTAGTTGTCGATGTCGTCTGCGCAGAGGAAGTGGGCTGGGTAGTTGTCCCCTTCCGACTTCTCGAGCTCGGCGACCAGGTGAGGGTCGGACTCCTTGGCGAGCCTGTAGGGCTGGTGTGGCACATCGTTGAGGAGGTCTTCGAGTCTCTTCAGGGGCAGCTCCTTCTGGTTCTCGTAGTCTTGGTCGATGGGATGGATGCGGTCGCTGGATTTTGATGGTGGGAGAGAGATGTTGACTCGCTTCTCGAGCGGGATCTGGGCCGAGTTGTTGACCTCGAGGAGGATGTCCAGTAAGCGACTGGTTGTTTCTGTCAGCCATGATCTTGCACCAGGGGATGAATGCTCTCGTACTCGTTCTCAATAGCTAACCGCTTCACGGTCGCCTGTGCTTTGGCCTCCTGCTTGAAAATATCTTCGCCCTCGTGCATCTTGTTCTCAAAGGAGATGCGCATCTTGCGGTACTTCTTCTTCCATGACTTGTACCCAGCCTTGGGCCGAGGCGCGGCATCGCCCTCGGTCTTCACTGAGGATTCGGCCATTTCTGGCTACCGCAGGTATCTCCAGCGCGCTCCAGGAGATTCTCCCCCCTGGTGTTCCTAATTGCGCACTTGCACGATGCAGCGACGGGCTGAGGCTGGCGGAATGTTGACTCGTGGACGGGAAAAAAACGGGATGGGTTGTAAGTTCGGGGCGAGCGTGGTGTGGAATTGATGTCTCAGGTGGAGTGCAGCCGGCTGGAAAAGGTGCCACGCGGAATCGCTGGCTGCAGGCGATGATGGAAGGATCAAGAGGGACGAATGAATTGATGAAGCGCGGTGCAGTCTCTTTGTGAGGCGTGAGACGTTGGAAGGGCGGCGGGTCCTCTTTTTCTGGACGCGACTACTCATCGGGGGTCAGACAGCTCGATCCGGCCAGTGAAGCTGCGCTGCGATCAAACAGCGCTTAAAACCAACAGGCCTGCGTAACAGATCCAGCTGTCCACCTAGTCCTCTGCACCATTGAATGGCCCTCTGCTGGTGTGTGCATTTAAATCACTTTTCTTTTCTGCCCAGATTACAATAGGATCGACTTAATCATTTCATACACCTCGTGCGAGTAAATACACATTTATACTTTCAACTTGTGCTTTGGGAATGCTGCCTCTTCTCAACCCGGCGCACCAAGTTGTTTTGGAGGTGCACGCCATTATTACTATATCCATCTCTTTTGGCCTATGCCAGCCACTCAAGATGATGCTACCTCTTTTCCTAGCCTCTCCAACTCGTCTCTGATGAATTCGGCTGCGTTGATAATTTCAGTACTTCCATAAACCACCCGCTTCTTCGCTCGGTCTCCCCCTGTTCGGCTGACCCAGTCATTCAGATTACCATATTCTTCCATGCTTCCACCACCAATGGTAAATACAATAGCCTCGCTGTAGCCCTGCCGCCGCTGACCAAAGCTGGCTGTTTGACCAGGCGCTTGCGAACCGGGCAGTCCGCCAGGCGCAGTGCCTCCCCCGCCTGCTCTCATAGCACTTGGGGGTGGCATCGTCCCACGGGCATTAGCTGAACGTGGGTCGAAATAGAGATAGTTCTCTGTCTTGGCAATGGCGGAAGATGAAGCAGTGGAGGGGTCCATGATGGATTCTACGATCTTCGTAACTGTGAGATCCTTATCGACAGGGAGGAAGGTCTTGACACCGCTGATAAGCGAGTCAAAGTTGGATGAAAGGCCGGTTGGAACGCCGGATTCCTTTAATCGATCTGTTAGGCGGGAAGATATAGAGGAAAAGCGACCAAATAGATCCGAAGATCCTTGCTGTGGGCCAGAGTTCTTATTGACGGTAGCGAGTTGGGTCATCTTGGTCGTGGCTCGAACACTGTTGGTTGTCAAATGTTAGCAAAAAAGCTTCTTGTGGTACTTGATGGGATGGGATCAACGAACTGCTTGATGTAAGGGAGCGATGACACATCGGAACCTGCTGCCTCCAGAGCCTTTTCAAATCCTTCGAATTCGGCTCGGCTAAGTTCCTGCTCTGTGCTCAAGAACCAAATGATGAAGAGACGAAGTTTATCTGTGGGTTCATTTCCCTTGTCCGCACCCTTGATAACCTCCATGATCTGATCCTTGGATTGTCTCGTTACCTCCTCCTCTATTTGGAAATAATTGTCGACCTGACGGTTCTTGATGCCGTTGAAGATTGCCGTCAAGATGTTCATGTGCATATCGAGAGTCGCTTTCCGCTCTTGCATTTCCGGAAGTTCTCCTATGACTGCTTTCAGATGCTGAGTGGCAGCGCTGGTCTCGTTTTGCAGATCCTCGAATTGGGAGGCCCCGGCCTTCTTCGTCATAGCAGCGGACTCTTCCCTCCACTTATTCAGCTCAGCATCTACTGAGTCGGCAGCCTCGACGACTGGGGCTCCGGCATGCTTAGACCAGAAAAAGTCGCTGGAGGTTAGATCGTAGATCTTCTTTGAATTTCCTTTGGCAGGGTTGTTTTCCTCTGCTGGCATCTCAACGGTGATTTTGTTGAGCTTCATGTTTAGGACATCATGCACAAGGGACTGATATGTCCACGAGTGGGAGAGCATCGTTGTCAGGTCCAAGTTTCGATCGAGCAGAACGAGCACTGGGCGAGAGGAAGCCGTACTTCCAGCACCACCTTTTGGACCAGAAAATAGATTGTCCTTTGAGTTTAGAATGTGGTCTCGGAGTTTGCGATCGAGCCGGACTGCCACCATCTCCGCAGCAGCATCCTTGGGGCACCGAATAATGGGGATCACACCTGTAAAATCAGACGTCAGTATAATCCGAGGTCTAATGAGCGCCTTGAATCCTTACCCATGGTGACAACAACACTGAAGAGACCGTTCACGATTCTGTCAATCACTCGTTCAAGCTCAGCATCGCTCGTCGCCGCACTATTGAGCGCCCAGTACGTATGTTCACTCTGCATGTTCAGGCTAAACAAATCCGGCTCCGTCACAACAAAGTTCAGGTATTGGTCGTAAAGCTGTGCGATCTGCTCCGACGTCCCGGCTGTCGCAGTTTGCGTCGCAAAGTCCTCCAGCAGGACTCGAGGTAAGGAGCACAGGAAGTTGATGTATGCCGGGGAGTAGAGGCCCTTTTCCAAATCGTTGGTGATGGATTGGATGTTCTTTTCGTTTGGTTCGAGGAGGTAGATGACAGGGACATCGGGGATTGGGTGTCGGGTGGTTCCGATATGCCTACATGATCGTGTTGGATGACCTGATGATTCTCGCTGATGGATGGGAGACAACATACTTGTGCATTGTGACGCCCATGGATCTCAAGTCGGAGACTCGAAGAACGCTGCTGACAACATCGCGGCCAAAATCGTCGAACACCAGCACTTTCCAGATAGGATTCCCGTCAGCATCCAAGATTGGGGCAACCGGTGCCAGTAATGCGTGGGCTTGGGCTTCGTCTTTGTCACTGGTCTCGACGGTTTCATTAAGATTTAATATTTTCTTCAGCGAGGCTACGCAAAGCATTAGCGACCACCGTGATTGGATTATGAACATGTGGGATTTACCAATTTGGCGATCTCGCAGCGAGTCGCCGTGAGCTGCCATGGTGGCTACAGTAGGTGAGCCTCTTATTCCACGACGGACTTGCGGCAATTGGTTACTGTCGCTTCGGATCAGGGATTTCAAAGGTGATGCGAAAATATCATAGGACACGCGCCTGGAACGTCGATATGCAAAACCAAGATAATGGGTTAGCAGCTAATCGTAGGTATCTTGGAGCTTTGGGGCCACGACATCACAATGCCCACTTCAAGCTCCATCAGCAGCCAGTAGCAATTCATGGAGGTGCTTGCCTTGGCCTGCAGTTCAGTTCAAGGTGGGGTGGGTGGGCGAGATGCCACGGACCGACTTGGCCCCGATTTCAAGGTACGTACAACCTTGGCTAAGGTGGGCAGGTGGGGAAGGAGGTGTCTGGCGTTGCTGCCTTATTGCGCTGGTCTTGGCTGGGCAACTGCAGGGAGTCGAGACACGGGTCGCGTGTGCACGCACCTTGATGCCTGAACTCTGAGGCTCGCCAATAAACTTGGGGGTGTACGTGCCTAGAACGGAGGCTTAACTTTTCTCTCATCATTCAACGACACCTCATCAACCACGGGCAATTTCATCGGTAATCACAGCCAAACGACGTCAAAATCAGCAGAGGACGGCGTGACTAGATACTCTAACACACTCGAGAGCCAACACACCTGCACCAGAGCCTCAACGGGCGACTGCGACGGGGTGCGCTCTTTGCGTGTGTGTTCGTTCTTCCACCCTTCCCCTTAATCTTGTCTCTTCTCTCCGCCACGGATGGTGTCGTAAGCAACAAACAGTCGCGTCACTGTGAATAGGTGACTTGGTAATCGAGATTTTCACCTGCGCAAGTCCACAGAGACAGGCCAAGGGTAAGAACGAGGTTCGCGTCCTCCACAGGGAGTGTAGGTATGGCATTACTCCCACATCAATCCACGCACCACCACAAGCACATTCCCCCTCGCATCACCCCTTGCACGACCATCCATCATCAGCACCACCCGCCAGGCATAATGAAGCAAGCGACTCCGCGCGTTAGTACTTGTGATACCCATGAATAATGGAAGGACAATCACTCTACCTACGACCATAAAATAATTGGCACAAATGATGGGAATGGCAGTCGCTCAAGCTGTAGACCTGACTTCCCATGCAGCAAAAGCAGGGTCTGTTGAGGTCGGGAACTTGACGCGCCAAACCTTGACTTGGGCACAGCCGTTTCATTTAATCGTCCAGCCCACAGGGAAATGGCGAACCCTTAAGGCTCTACTATCTGGTCAACGGTGGCACTTTGCGGCCCTGTTTTGCAGCGCAGATCCAGACGTCTGCGGTGTCTTGTCATAAAACAGCTGAGCTGGTTTAGAACATGCCTGAGTCCGGAGCGGCCAAAAATGGCGCGACCTTTGAGTGTGCATACTGAAAAAAACAAAGAACAAGCACGGCGGGTTTCCAAATAACTACCTATCGCCACCTTTCAACCTTAATTCGAAAGGCCTATCCATAATACCCGCCAAAGAAAAGTCCTCTCTGGTCAGGGGCGGTCGCTTCACACTATTTCCCTCTTCTCTTCCTAACTCGTTTTTTTTTCTATAATGCAGCTGAGCAGCGCAAGTGCAGCGATCAGTGCCAGCGCCCCAGTCAGTGACAGTGGTGTCCGACGGGTGATGGCGGTGCTTATTCCCCACACCCAAAAAATTGGCACACCTTCTGCTCACCTTTGTTAAGCCTTGACCAGAACTCCCCCAACATCGGCCTTTATCTTTCGAGTGCCTCCCAGATCCGGCTTTATGGGTCTGGAACTCTTTACGTCCCTTGCACAAGCACACGCCATATCATCATTGCCACTCTATTCTCCTCATCTACGGTCGATTTACTGATGCAAGATGCTTGCTGTTCTACAGATCCTGTGCAACCACTCACGCCTCACGCTTGATGCATAGCCCCTGCACGAGCTCCCAATCAGGACTAGCGGGAAATCATATCGCGTAGATCCG